GATTTTATTAAGACCTCCTTACCAGCAACTGATAGTAGGTTGCACTTCTAGCTTTCAATTCTGGCCCTAACAGAGTCTTCCACAAATTGAAAAGCATCTTTCTTGGAAGCACCAATACCCAGAGGAAGTCCAAGGTATTTTGATGACCTTTTCACCACAACTCCCCTTAGAATAGAACAAATTCTCCCAGTCAGATTAACTCCACAGTTCTTGCTCATAAACATTGAGGACTTATGCAAATTGACTTTTTGCCCTGTGAAACCTTGGTATTTCTGAAGAATATCCAACAAGGATCTAGCATGGTGTTCATCAGCTTTACAAAAGACTAGAGCATCGTCAGCAAACAGAAGATGAGACAACATGGGCCCATTTTTTGCAATCTTGATCCCTCTAAACTGGCCAGCATTGATCTTATGGTATATAATAGAAGAGAGCACCTCAGATACCAGTATGAACAGATATGGGGACAGGGGATCTCCCTGCCTGATCCCCCTAGAAGCCTTGACAAGCCCACAATTCACACCATTTAGATTAAAAGAGAAAGTAGGATCAGAAATGCAACCGATAATCCACCTAATAAATTTACCATGAAAACCCATCCTGGACATGATTTTCCTAATACTCTCCCATTCCACTCTGTCGTATGCTTTTTCCATATCAAGTTTAACAGCCATAAAAGCATGAGGACCAGATCTATGCCTATGCAGAAAATGGAACACCTCATGAGCAATAACAACATTATCCAGCAGATTTCTACCCGGGACAAAAGCAGTCTGAGCATTACTAATGCATTCATTCAGGCATACCTTAAGCCTCTCAGCCAACACTTTGGCTATGATTTTGTAAAGAACATTACACAGAGAGATAGGTCTATATTTACTCAGAGAATCAGGATATAAACACTTAGGGATCAAAGTAATAACGGTGTGCTTCCAATTTTTAAGCAATTTCCCAGAGCTGAAGAAACTTTTAATAGCATTGCACACATCAGCTTTAATAATACTCCAGAAGTGTTTAAAGAAAGTAACTGACATACCATCCTCCCCCGGGGCCTTGTCAGCCTCCATATGGAACAGAGCCTTTTTAATCTCCATCTCAGTAACAGGCTGGATAAGCAGATTATTAGAATCTACTGATATGGAGTGGGGGACATACTGTAACAGCTCCTCCCCCCCATTGGTGCCTTCAGATGTAAACAGAGAAGAGTAAAACTCCACCATATGATTAGCAATAGTCTCATTGGAGTCACAAATAGCACCTGAATTGGTCACCAGTCTCTGAATCAAATTTGTCTTCCTTCTCTGTGCAGTTGAAGCATGGAAAAACCGAGTATTCTTGTCCCCCCCTTTAAGCCACAATGCTCTAGACTTCAATCTCCAGTAGTTCTCTTCCTCCTTGTGGGCCCAATCAAGCTCAGCCTTCAGCACTCCCCATTCCTCCCAATCCCTCTCCTGTCCCTCCAATCTCATCTCCTCCAATTTTGTTGTAATAACTCTGATGACGTTGCTATTTTACGCATTTCATGCATTTATATATCTTTACAACTTAAATAAATAATCCAATCTTAAATTCATTGAACGAATCCTATAGTTAGGTTGATAATTAATTTTAACTTTCGTTTTTTTTTTTCACTAAAATTTTATCCCGTAAATTTAATTGTATTTTTGTATTTTTTTAACATATTAAACAATTAGTATTAATCATTTGTTATAGTTCTATGTATGTTGGCCAACATATAAATAACTATTTTTTTTTTTTAAATTATCACTCCATTCATATATTTAAAAAAAAAAAAAATCCACACATACTTCTGTATAGTTGAAATAAAATTGAATAATTATGCTATGAAATGACATATTATTAGAAATGACATATTATTATTCAAATTGTTTTTATAGAATATGTCGTCTGAATTTGAAAGTATACATATATATTAAAAACAAATATTTCGTAACATTTACACCTAAATAGTATCCTCTCGGATAATAAGGTGGACTTGGGGCCTTAGGTTTAACTTAGTTATTAATCGTTCTTTAATTTAACTTAAGCAAATCGGGTTTAAATATAATCGAATTCATTTACCAAACAAGCTGAACATTGAATTTTAAAATTTAGACCGCAAAGTTTTTTTTTTTGGTACAGGGACTTTTCAGTTACCGGATTCACAGGGGAACCGACTAATCTAGAATCGAGCCGGGTAGGACCACAAGGGCGGCAAAGTTCTCCCTCAAGAGTTTTAACACTACTGCATTCTCAGGGCTCGAACACGAAACCACTGGTTAAGCTGGAAGAGACCCAAGTCATCTCATCCAAATACTCTTGGGTTAGACCGCAAAGTTTTGAGTTTATGACTTGCCAAACAAGTTGAGCCGAGCCGAATAAATTTAACACGAGTCAACTCGAATAACACCTCAAATATATTCTCCATCGGTCTACTTATAAATTTATTTATTGTTAAATTTTTTTGTTAAAACTTAAAAATAACGGGTCAACACACGAAACGGACAAAACCCGTATGATTCTCAACAGAGAAAAAGCAGTAAAAAAGCACTCTTCTTAATGCAACGACTTTCTTTTCCCTCTGCCCCAAAAGGGTCAAAATGGTAAAATCACACTTATATTCCCCTTCTTAAATAATCTACTCCATGAAACGTCTGTTTCCTTCTCGGCCGATGCCTTTTGCCTCTTCCTTCCCTTTTACCGCAGGTAATTTTCTTTTTTCACCCCAATAATTAAAAAATCAAGCCAATAAAAGAAAAAAAAAAATAAAGAATAGTATTTATCAATATATTATTATCAAAATTAGAAAATTGTGATTTGCATTAATTTATCATTTCCCCCATAATTTTATCATTGTCTTTAATGAATTCTACTCACATTATCATTACTAGTCACACTATTTATTTAATACCTCATAACAAAAATAATAGGAAGATACTATATTATTTTCATTTATTTTTTATTTTTGGAAATTTTATCCAAATAACTCCATTTTCATATATTTTTTTATTTTTGGAAATTTTATCCAAATAACTCCACCACTAAATCCAGAAGCAAATAAATAAATTAGCAATGAAAATTACAAAATAAAATTCAATTTGACATCCATTTTACTTATATATATATATATATGAAAAGCAGTTTATGCTACGGTCTCGTTACGGAACCATTTCATCAGAATTTGTAACCATTGAATCAACTATCCCCGATAGTTACGTGATGATCTAACGGTTACAAATCTCGACAGAATAGTTCCGTAGCATTTCCATTCCTATAAATACAAATTAAATAAATAGTAATGAAAATAAAAAATTTAAAAATTTACAATAATAACTTTTACTTTTATTTATTTTTAATTATAATTTATTTGAATTATGTAATACACAAAAATATTGAACTTTTTTTTACTAGTTAGGCCTAATCTAATAACCGAGGAAAAGGAATAAAAGGGGAGCTCCAGAATCTGGTTAGTCTGTAGAGAGAGAAAAACACATAACGATCACCAAAACAGAGACACAAAAAATTACAGAAATAGAAAAAAAAAAAAAAAGATCACAAGCATATATACACGCACATATACGTACACGCACGGCCTCTCTGTATCGATCTCCATTGGAGAAAGTTCTCTTTTTCTGAAGAAGCTTTTCAATTCCTTTCTTCGCGGTGGGATTTGTTTTGGATACATATACGCATTGGGCAGATCAGTAGGTTTTTGGATTCATCGATCGCGATCCAGCTGAGATTCGGCTCAAGGGGTTTATGTAAGGTTTTGATTCATTCGTTTTTGTTCGTTTTTTATTGTGATTTTGCTTTCTCATGACTGTGATCGGAGCTCGCGATCTGTGGATGCATGAGTTTCTGTATCCGAATGTTGAGAAACTTTTTCTGTTAGCTTTGTGGGTGTCTGAGAGGTGAGATCTCACGGGGAATTTGATGGCATTGTTGGATATCAGTTGATCGATGGTTGGTGTAGAATGAATGGGTAGTGTTGTTTGTCATGCGGTTGGATTTTTTCGATTAAATTGTGTTGTTCTGTGTTCGGAGTTTCCCAGTCGAATAGATCGGATTTGTTGAATTATCGTAGTCGAATGGCTGCGGGAGCTTTTGCTGGATCTTGTTAATTGAGGTAGAAGTACCTCTAATTAGTGATAGTTAAGAATTTATAATGTATGATTGAACTTGACATCCATGGTAAAGATTTATGCTTGTGTTGAATATTGAGTTTACAGATTATTAGCTGGTCTGAAACTTCAAATGTGTGTGTGTGTGTTATAAATCCATTTATGTATAAAGATTGTGTGAAGTGGATCTTTTTTTCTTTTTTTGTGCATGTGTCGCAACGATCCTCCTATGCGATTTTTATGTCTGTTGGAGCATACTTGATATGAAAAATTAATCCACTTTACATGATTGTGCAGTACAGTTTGATGTGGTTTTTTTGGGAGCCACATCATCTGAATTTTGAGGAGATCAAGTCTTCTCACCCTTAGCCTTTTCATTCTAAACCCAGCCAATATGTCAGGTGTGTAAATGCTCAGGACGTCTATCTTTGTCATTAAGATAATTTCCTGGGATAACTTTTCACTCACAAATTGTTTACATTGTCGTCCTATTCCCTCTCTAGATGGAATAGAGTTGCTTGATGATACGAGAGAGAGAAAGTCAGATTATGAGAATTCCGATGACGAAAGAAGGAGATCAAAAATCAGGTCTCTGAAGAAGAAGGCCATAAATGCTTCTAACAAGTTCACTCATTCTCTCAAGAAAAGGGGGAAGAGGAAGGTTGATTTTAGAGTTCCTTCCATTTCAATTGAGGACGTTCGTGACCCGAGAGAGGAGAGTGCTGTCTGTGACCTGCGCCAAAAACTTCTTGACAGGAATTTATTGCCAGTTAAGCTTGATGACTACCATACTTTACTGAGGTGAGTTTATTAATTATTATTATTATTACTATTTTTTATTTTGACTATAAATTCTTCTCCATCACCGACACATATGCTTAATTTCCCTCAACAGAGGAGGTTCACCAGTGAGAGTACTATTGTCGGATGTTATAGTAAAAGACCATTTTATGTGAACTCATGGATTTTGCTGTGACCGTTATTTTGCCTGTTGGATTTCAAGTGATCGTACCTCTTTAAGGATACTGGGTTGAGAGTAAAACTCTAGGCACATATCTTCTACATCGTTGCTAAATTCGGATTCAAATTTTAAGTAATTATAATTTTCAGCATTTGTTGGCATTTTGATGAAATAGGGGGTGAAGTGTGTGTCAATTTATTTCTTTCTTTTTCCCCTTCTTGTTTCTAGTTGAATCAAGAGCCTTTATGATTTTCACCTGGTAAATCAGGAGCCTATGTTATTCTCTTTATTTATTTTTTTTGTGATACGCAGATTTCTGAAAGCTAGAGATTTTGATATCGGCAAGACCCTCCAGATGTGGGAAGAAATGCTTAATTGGAGGAGGGAGTTTGGAGCAGATACTATCTTGGAGGTAAATGATACATGACAATAATCTATGCAAAAGAGTTCTTAGTGTTTTTCTCTTATAATGAACTGCTGTCTCTCTTAATAGGTTTCCATTTCTAATTTTCAGATGACTCTTTTTTCCTTTACTAGTATGTCTGAAATCTTGTGTCTTTCTTACTTGGGAGTTGAGGGCTGGGGAAGGCTTCAGTTCGCATTGCGATAGGGTGCAGTTCACTAATGATTAATTTTCAGGACTTTGAATTTGAGGAGCTGGAAGAAGTCTTGCAATATTACCCCCAAGGATATCATGGAGTTGATAGAGAGGGAAGACCAGTTTATATTGAAAGGCTTGGACAAGCTCATCCAAGTAAACTGATGCGCCTCACTTCAATAGAAAGATACCTGAAGTATCATGTTCAAGAATTCGAGAAGGCTATACATGAGAAGTTCCCAGCATGTTCCATTGCTGCTAAGAGACGAATATGTTCCACAACCACAATTTTGGATGTACAAGGCCTGGTCTGTTGATTAAATCTGTGATGCAAATCCTTAACTAAATTTGTTTTCTGTTCTAGTAAATCTAGGGAGAGTTTCTTATTTATCTTTCAGAAAAACAATATTTATTTTCCAGGTTTTATGCCTTTTGATTTCCGGGTCTTAATTAGATTAGCGATGCAACTTGGGGAAAGTTTCAAATTCTTATCTGCTTAGCTTGTATTTCTCTCCAATGTACTTTGATGCATAGTGATAAAATTTTAATGTTCTATATAAATGACACCCTCAATGGTTTCAGGGGATTAAAAATTTCACAGCGACTGCCGCTAGTCTATTGTCAGCCATGGCAAAGATTGATAATAATTACTACCCAGAGGTATTTTTTGCTAATATCTAATCCTTTTTCTCCATTTTCACATCATGAATAACAAACCACAAATGACCTATTTCCTTGTAATGGTTATATATAGACACTCCACCGCATGTTCGTTGTCAATGCTGGAACTGGATTTAAGAAGATGCTTTGGCCTGCTGCACAGAAGTTTTTGGATCCAAAAACTATCGCAAAAATTCATGTAATACATTTAATATTCTTTCGAGAGGCTCTTGTTCTTTTTTTCTCACATACTGCATCGCCAATTGATTGTACTTGTGTTCTCTACATACGCAGGTCTTGGACCCTAAATCTTTGGGGAAGCTACATGAAGTCATTGATCCAAGGTTTGTTCAACTCTTCCCTTCACGGCCTATATTTTGAAAGTGAAATATATCATCTAACTACTCGTATTTTCCCCAGTCAACTGCCTGATTTTTTGGGTGGATCTTGCTCATGTAATGTTGAGGGAGGCTGCCTGAGGGCTAATAAGGGTCCGTGGAGTGATCCTGAAATAATGAAGGTGCATATTTGACTCATTTGGTTCGTTGATATAATTGGACTGACATTCTTTTACGAGGCTATTCTAAAAAAGTTCTTGTTTTCTTTAGCTTGTCTATAATGCGGAAACAACTTTTGAGGGTTGTGTTGCCAAAATATGCAGCGATCAGCAGAAAATTGATTCTTATTTTAAAATGCAGGCCCTGAAGATGGTAAGTTTTTACAAGTTTGATTATAATTCATTAAACCATTTTTGTGTATGACCTGTATGGTGTTTTAAATGATCAGGCAAGATGTGGTGATACATCCTTTGCAGAATCAGGATCAGATGCTGATGATCTTTTCTCGCCCACCAGACAAAACAGCGAGGTGATTTCTCGACTTGCCCCAGTTCATGAAGAAGTAAGCTTGATCAGATGTTTATAATACCTATTTTTGTTTAATAGCAAACTGTGTGTCCTGTGCATCTTATTTTTCTAAAGATAATACATTGAAGATCTTGAATCGTAACTTTATATGTATCTAGTATAAACTTATTAATATGACCTTCTACAGGCCAGAACATCAGATACTTGTATTTACTATAGTTGCAACGAATATTTCTCTCCACCTGACAAAGATAGTGATAATGAACAAGGATTGGAAGACCATTCTTCGATCGGCCATGGAAGTTCAGGCTTTGAAGGTTAGTTCTCATGTAATAGTAATACATACTTTGTGATTGTGTAGATTATTGTAATATTGAATAATCAGGTATTTGCATCTTGATCTCTGATCCAACCATAAATGCAAAAAGTGGCCACGCCTTGTTTCTTTTCTATTCTTTTCTTTTCTTTTCCTTTTCCTTTCCCCTGTCCTATAAAGCAATTTTGAAATATTTACCAACTTTACTCTCAGATTATTATTATTATTATTTTTTTTGTGTGTGTGTGGGAACAGTCTTAGTCCATGCAAATAGGTTAAGTATAAAATTATCATTCGTTTAGTCCAATTTCTGTTTTTCAAATGCATTTGGAACAACAATTAAAATTATGATATACCAAATTTGTGAATCAGGTGCCCTTGTTATGTATTGGTTAGACTCCATCGGGGATAAAATAGTGAGGAGAGGTTTCCGGTATATAACTAGAACACTGATATTCATAGTGATCAAGCTTTTTGAGTTTATCAAGAATACGCATTTCGGATATTGGAGGACTCGGGCCAACGTTTATCCGGAAAATGATCCACAACCAGACGATCATTTACCTGTCGAATCAGAAGCTGTAGTTAGGGAAGAGGAACAGGCAGCACTTCCCTGCGTTCAGCGCCTCCAGAGATTGGAGAATTTATTGGAGGAACTCGTGAAGAAGCCTGCCCAAATCCCAGTGGAGAAAGACCAGTTACTTCATAGATCTCTCGATAGGATAAAGTCAGTAGAGTCTGACCTTGAGAAAACAAAAAGGGTAAGTACTAAGTAGTAATTATTTATCGTGTTTGCTTTGGTCATGTATGTATACGTATTTGAGAGATGAATATTGTCCAAATGGTTTTGTGTGTGCTTAGGCATTGAATTCAACCGTGACGAAGCAGCTCGAGATAGCTGAGTTACTGGAAAATCTGCGAGAGTCTAAGTTTCACGTAAGTCCATATTTTTGCAGCTTTGGGACTAATAAAAATATCTTTAGCATGTTTCAACGTTAAAGCTTTTCGCATAAAATGTTACAAACTCTCTTAAGTTTTTTTTTTTTTTTTGGCTCAACATAAGCCCTTGAGTATGCAATTTAGACAAGGAACATACTTGTTATTTGTTCAATCAACTTTTGTTCTCTAATCAGTCGAAACCTGATGGACACTTCCTGCATTTAAGTGGGCCTTCATAATCATTGTTTGGGAATCTAACCCACTATTTTATTTTGTTTCACTTATAATTTCTACTTCGGTAATTCAATTTATGATTGCAATCCAAGTTACTAGTGTGTTTTATTACTTTTTTTTTTTTAATTGTTAACTTTCTCTTTGCAGCGTCGTAGGCTGTTCTGTTGACTTGGAGGCGGTCCAAACAAAAATCGGAACTTGTAAAACAAACAATGCACAGTTGGGAAATAGTTGTTCGGGGTGAAGAACAAAAAGGAAGAAGGTTCACTTTATAATATGTATCTCATTACTACTTTCTCCACACCCTCATTTTCCCCATGAGAACTAACGAATTTTGGAGTTCGCGAGATATAGAAAACGAATCACAAGGAAAAAAATTTCTACTACAACAATTGCTGCTTTTACAGCGTAATGGCCGATAACAAATTAGTCGTAAGTAATGTGTGTGTATATATGTGCCTGGTAAATGTTAAACCAATTGCACTGAGATTTAGTATAGGATCTGTGCTTCTCGATTTTCACATCGGGATGAAAAGGAAGAAAAGGAGCGTATACCAAGCTGGAAAATTTCGGTGGCCATTGGAATTAAAGAGAGAGTAATTCCCCTTCAGGAGACTTGATACAATGGAGCAGAGATGATGAAAGGTTCGCACCTTAGTGGCTTTGTTGATGGGTTTGATTATAGAAAAACTCCAACTCTAACATTTTGCAGTTGTTTATGTGATGGATTTGGTTCAAAGAGTAGGTTATATAGGCAGACAATTTTTTTTTCCTAAATAAATTACATATTAATACACAATATAAATAGAATTGTGACATTTGATGTATAAGTATGCATTTTATTCACAAAAATATGATCTGCCGATTTGATTTATGATTCAAGTGTTGCACACAATAATTTGTGAATTTTGTACCAGTTAAAAGTCGATAAATTAAGATAAAATATTAATCAAGTTGAATATTCAGTATACTGTCACATGCCAAAGGCAATTCATTGTTTTCGGTCATCATTTATCGTCAGCATTTTTAGTTTATGAATATGATAATTTTACGGGTTGATATACGGTTTATTTAGTTATTTTGAATGTCATATGTTGAAGTAGTGGTCCATTATTTTACCATTTGATCATACACTTATATATCCGTATTGGTATGTGTCAATCCAACGATGAATTAGTTTAGTGATGGTCAAATTTTTGTTTTTTTCTCAAACGATAGACAATCTCATTAAAATCAAATAAAGAGTAAAGACCCAAATATAACCGGAAAGAACCGAGAGTACCATACTTAAGGTATGGCCTAGATTACCCAAGACTCACGGACAACTCACTCACAAACACACCAAAACAAACAGAACAACGCTCCCAACGGAGAAAACCTACTCCTAACAAGATGAAAATCTACAACCCAACAGGAGATTGTTTTACATTTGGATTATCCAACAAGAGGAAAAAACCTACTCCTAACAAGATAAAAATCTACAAGTCAACAGGAGATTGTTTTACATTTGATTATGCACACTTACACATCCATACTGGTATTTGTGAATCCCAACGATAAAAAATTCGGCGATGGTCGAATTGATTCGATTTTGTGCTGACCGATTGTTTTACATTGGATCATACACACTTACACATCCGTACTGATATTTGTCAATCCAAATGATAAAAAATCTAGTGATGGTCGAATTAATTCTATTATGCGCTCACTATTTGCAAATCAAATGAAAAAATATTCGGTGATGACCGATTTTTTCATAGTAATTTAGTAATATTATTTTATATATTCAATTTATATTAGTTTAACTTGAAATGAACTTCAATCAAATTTGCTTACTCGCGAGTATGTCGTTTATCACTTCTATCGATTCTCATTTGAATCTTTATTATATCTTAGTAGGTTAGTAGGTTAATATATTAGCACAAATGTTACTAGTAGAGTGTCAAACCGTTTGACATTTATACTTTTTTATTCATCGTGAAATCTCATAATTTTATTTATATAGTAATTTAAATTATGATATTTGAATATGAAAATATGTGCATATGTAGGAACATAATTGTATAATTATCAAGTCGCCTAACAAGTAAGAATTACGAATTAATTAGAATTGTTGTAATGCAAAACTAAAATATATAGTCGAGGAGAAGAAAAAATAATATAACAAATCAATCCCAATGCAATTAGATATAATTTTTTTTTAGCTAGGTTTTGAATTGATCAGCCGGATATGTATTTTTTTAGACACAACTAACTCTACTTCGACTCTTATTAATATTATTAATATAATCCCCCTATATATTAATTCAGAACGTGCTGAGCTTAAGTGAAAGACTCGCATGCTTCGAGATCTTATGTGTCAAAATTACAAGTTTTGTTATTAGGCTTGGATAAATTTTAATTTACTTTTAATTCAAAAATAATTAGGTTCGGATTACCATATAAGTATGTTGATTTATTTATGATCATTTTACATGTATTAATTATATTTTAATATCATTTCTTATCATAACTATATTGAATTGTAAATTTATTTTAAAATTTGATAAATTTTGTATTTCTTATCGGTTTTACATATATAATACATCAAATTAATAATTTTTTGATGAGTTTCGATTTGACATCCATATTGTATATATAAAAGATTTATATATATATTATTTATCTTTATAATAATAATAAATATATTCATTAAAATTAATTAGAAAAATAAAATTATTTCTCAATTAATATATTTATGTTTACTGTAGTTATATGTATAAGTTAGAAAAATTATTATAATATAACACATTTATGTCGCACAAATAACAAGTGTCATCTAAATATATATAATAATATATATCTCTTTATAAAAAGTATTTAATTTTCAACAATTCTCATTAATTTTACAATAAATTGTATGAAAAAAATTTAACAAGCACCCGTGTAATACACGGGCGTTGTACTAGTTAAATAATAAAAACCAACCATTACTGTATAATTTTTAACAAAATTCACTCACATATTTATAATTAACATTAATCGTCAATAATTATTTTACTACTTTTACTCAGATCAAATTTAATTATTAATATATTTTTATTCATATTTACTCACAAATTCAAAATTAATTCAAATTTATAGCCAATGTTTTCCAACTTAGAACTCACTTCATCCATTATAAGTTTTAATTACTTACTTATAAATTCTAATCGCTTCATTAAATAGGGTGATTTATTTATTTTTTTTTTAAAAAAGAAACAAGTGGACAAAAACAAAAACAAAAAAAAAGGAGTGGAAAAAAATCAAAACCACGTATTCCCGGAATACGTTTTTCTAATTAAATATTATTAGAGAAAACGATAATACGTTTTATAAATGTTTTTGTAAAATTAAAAAAAAAAAAATCCGCTATAAAGTGGAAGGAATTCAATTTATAAATAGTAATTATAAAACGTATTTTTATAATACGTATTTAGAAACCCTAAATTGTTCGTTACAATTTATAATCTATGTTAGACGTATTTCTGAAATACGTTATATAGTTTAATTTTCTGCTAGGCCTTCGTTTGGCAGTTTCGGGAGCCGTCTTCGGGGTTGCGTTCTTCTCTTTGTGGATGACCGTGTGGCAGCTAGTGCATCGTGCGGGCTGAGGTGCCATTTCAAACCCTTTCTACTGTGGCTCTGGTGTTGAGCCCGGGGGAGGCCAGTGCTTCCGTCTTTGGCTAGTGGTGTTAGCCGGTTTTGGGACATTGGTGTTGTGGGGTGTGATTTGGGTTTCTTGTGCTTCTGCGAAGGGGAGGGTCTGCTCATTGGTTGGGTCTGGGGCCAGGGTTGCCGCTTCAGATAGGCCTTTCGGCAGTTTCGGCGGTTTCTCGGGCTGAGGATTTTTCTTCGGGTCGACTATTCATTCGGTAGATTTGCTGTGGAAGGGCTCTTATTTTTTGTAGTTTTCTTTGTTTTATTTGTAATAGTCTTTTGTTTTATTTGTGTTTTGTTGTTTCGTCTGTTTTGTGTTGTATGTGTTGTCTTGTATTAGGTATTGTGTTTTTGGTTTGGGTCGTTGGCCCCTGTGAGCCGTTTGCATACGGTGTTTCCTCGTTTGGGGCCGTTCCACATTACCTCGTTTGGGGTCGTTCCACATTGCCCCGCTGGGGTCGTTTCATTTTGTCAGTGTTGTTGGTTCTTGTGTTGGTGTTTGAGTCGTTTTCTTTCTAGCCTTGCTAGCGATTCTAGGCGGACCTCGGTCTAGCCTCCAAGTTTGTATTTTCGCACATTTGTGCGCTTATCTATAGTACTTCTATCGTTCCGACCAAAAAAAAAAAGTCAACGTATTCAGAAAATACGTTTTATAATTAAATAAAAGAATAAAACGTATTCCTGTAATACGTTTTACAATCAAATATAAAAAAAAGACTTCTCTTCCCTCACTTCAGAGACGAGATTTACAAGCAGAAGCAGCACTCTTCGAGCAGCAAGCGAGCTGCTGCGTATTCATATCGCATACCCGATTCGAATTGACAACAACGACACGAGCCTTATTTCCGGTTAATTCTTTTGCACAAGGTATATTGACTTATCTCAATTTTTTACATTGTTTTGAGTTGTTTGAAAATTGGGAATTGGTATAGAATGTTTGAATGTAGTGGTGTTTGAACATTGGGAATTGTTATAGTATGTTTGAATGTAGTGGTGTTTGAACATTGAGAATTGTTAATTGTTTATCGAATATTTGTAGTTGAATTGGAGAATGGAAATTTGTTGTAAATTGTCAATTGTGTATTGATTCATTGTTGTTTGGCTTAGGGTTTTTCGAATTAGGGTTAGAATTAGGACTTTCTATTTATTCGAAATATAGATGAATTTTATGTTATTGTTGATTATGGGTATTAGGGTTTTGGAGAATTATTTTGTTGGAAATATTTATTTTGGTTATTTGTTGAAATAATTGATTTTTTTTTTGTGTTGGATTAGACATTATGTGTTGTTGTAATTGGGAAGAATGTAAATTGTCTTTTTGCAGCAGGTATTAATGGCGCATTCCGGTGCATACTTTGTTAATTTGTACTGGCATTTTCCGAAGGAAATGCTAAGTGAATTTGTTTTATTTAAAGATCATCCGGACGGTTCATTGTTTATTCTGGAGAGGATATCTTATCAACAATTGGTAGAAATGATTAATGAAAATT